AAGCCAGGAATACTGTTCTTTAAATAAGCTCCCTAGAAAGAAATCCAGGTAAGAGTGACTTCTCACATCAGCACAGCAGGTCTCAGTTCTCTTGTCCATCTTGAAAATCTTTCCACAGCTAAACCAATCTGGTTGCATCCTATTAGGGATTACTTACTCATCTCGATTTCAGTGCCATGGACACGCACTTCCCACATGTGGAATGTCTTCCGTTTCCGCCGCTGCTTTTGTCAGTAGTTGGCTTAAAACTCGTTTTCTCCAGGAAGCTTATCTGACCAACTCCCCTATTAGGATCTTGTCTGGACCCTATGTGCCTCCAGTGGGGGGTTTTCAGATTTAGAAAATAATAGTACAGGATGTCCAGTTCATTGGAATTTCAGATAAATAGCCAATACATTTTCCTCTTCTTTTTAACATGGGACATGTTTACCAGGTGTACCGCATTATATCAACATATGTGTAACTGCATCAATTGAAAAAAATCCGCATTATTAAGCCAAACCGGTTTCAGCTTAAATAGGTTTTTAAAAATTATTATTATGAATAGAAGTAGAGATACATTTTCCTTGGCATGGCTTAGACATGCTATTGTTTTCCCAGTTACTTTTGGGATATCTTTTGGAAATTAAAAAATTTTTAAATGACTGAACCCAGATACTAACTGTCCCCAAGGACAGCTCCTGTTCTCATTTCATGCAACCCTAGACACAGGACTCAGCACCATATGCAGTGTCCAGGAAGACCACCTATAGGATGGTCAGTATGGTGAATTTGAATCTTTGTTCTGGCCCTGGGACCTTCTATACATAAATTCACTTTTCTAAGCCTCAATTTATCACTGAAATGGAGATGAGCCCTAGCCAGTTTGGCTCAGTGGATAGAGCCTTGGCCTGCGGACCAAAGGGTCCCGGGTTTGATCTGATTAAGGGCATATGCCTGGGTTGTGGGCTTGATCCCGGGTATGCCTGGGTGGTGGGCTTGATCCCCAGTGGGGGGCATGCAAGAGCCAGCCAATCAATGATTCTCTCTCATCATTGATGTTTCTTTCTCTCTCTTGCTCTCCCTTCCTCTCTGCAATCAATAATATCTATCTATCTATCTATCTATCTATATCTATCTATCTATCTATCTATCTATATAATGGAGATGATGGTAATAGTAAGTACCTCACAAAGTTACCGGGGTCAAATAAAAGAATTCATATTATGCTTTCAATAAATTGCAGCTATTTATTAGTGGGCAATATAGATTTTAGAAGACTTAATATTTTTATTTTTATTAAATTTATTGGGTTGACATTCGTTAACAGAATCATTTAGGTTTCAAGTGTATGATACATGATCTGTATATTGCATGGTGCACCCACCACCCAAAGTCAAATCATCTGTCACCATATGTTGGCCACCTTTACCCTTTACTATACCCCTCACCCTTCCCTCTGGTAACCACCATACTGCTGTCTGTGTCTATGAGTTTGGGTTTTATATGCCCCATATGAGTAAAATCATATTATTCTCAGCTTCTCGACTGACTTATTTCACTTAGCATAATATTCTCAAGGTCCATCCATGTTGTTGCAAATGGCAGTATTTTATCTTTTTTTAAGGGCTGAGTAGTATTCCATAGTGTACCTGTACCACATCTTTTTAAAATTTTATTTTTATTTATTGATTTGAGAGAGAGAGGAAGGGAGAGAGAGAGAAAGAGAGAAACATTGATTTATTGTTCCACTTATTTATGCATTTGTTGATTGATTCTTATATGTGCCCTGACCAGGAATAGAACCTGCAATCTTGTATATCAGGACAATGCTCTAACCAACTGAATTACCAGGCCAGGGCTTGTGCCACATCTTCTTTATTCAGTCCTTTATTAAGGACACTTGGGTTATCTCCATGTCTCAGCCACCATGATAATGCTGCAATGAACATAGGGATGCATATATTTTGCGAATAAATGTCTTCAAGTTTTTTGGGGCAGATATTCAGAAGAGGGGTTGCTGGGTCATATGGTAACTCTATTCTTAGTTTTTTTTATAAAGTATGTTTTTATTGATTTTAGAGAGTGAGGAAGGGAGAGAGAGAGAGAGAAACATCAGTGTGAGAGAGAAATATCGATCGGTTGCCTCCCTGATGCACCCTGACTGGGGATTAAACCCACAACCTGGGTATGTGCCCTGCCTGGGAATTGAGCCACAAAAGACCACAGATAGCCAGAGCAATACTGAGAAAAAAGAACAAAGAGGTATCACACTACCTTATTTCAAATTATACTACAGAGCTACA